TTCCTCGACTAACCTGTACCACTTATCCTAATTTTTAACAGTTAAAACTCGATTTCTACCGATTCAACTCATTTATGCCCTAGAATGGAAGATGAGGGAAAACAACCAAACAATCCATGAATAATCACATACATTGGTAAGATAACAATATTTCACACCCTTACCTCGATTAATCGGAAGCTAGAAGTCGTTATTGATGATTTCCAAGCTTTCGCTTCTTTTTCCTTCTACTTTCTCTTCTTCCTCTTTCTTTCTCTTACGTTTTCTATTTTTCCTTTCCCTTCCACTTTCACTTATATATATCTTTCCCTTCTATTTCTCTCCAATATATTTCTTCTCTCAAAATATTTACCAATTCATTTCTCATAAAACATCCCATCTCATCCTTAATTAGAGAATATCTAGTAAGTCCACATTATTCTACCAAATAGAATAAATCAGTTAAATCCAATAATTCACTTAAATCATACAAACCAATTAACTAGTACCATTAATCAGTTATTGAAAATTGGGATGTTACAACTCTCCCCCACTTTAGGAAGTTTCGTCCTCGAAAATGCTATCCGACTCGAATAACTCTGGATACGACTCTCGCATCCCAATCTCCTAACTACCAAAGGAATCCCTTTTCCTCGAAGTTGCTTCTCGTTCACCCACCTGAACTTAGCAATGTCTCCATAATCGAATTGTCTCTCACTTGCACACCATCCTTCTGAATCAGTGCACCTCCCCAACTTAGACACATGTGTCACACCCTCATTTTCATCGTTAGCCTTTTATACCCTACATTCGGCATATCATACATCATTCTATTGCGTATCGAGCATGCGGGTTCACAAGGTACGAACTAGGCCGTTTGGTTGTAACTTGTCTATTTTCGGACTACATGAAAAAAGGTTCATCACCTAAGGTTTGATCTAAGGGAAAAGTCTACTCATGAAAATTTTGGCAAGGGGAAGTTACTTGACAAAATACAAGGATATTCAAGATAAATATTAATAGACATGAATGCTAGGCCAAATCCAAAGCTCCTTCATATATGTTTATTTTTATGGCATAAGTGGAGTGCAAATTATTAAGGCATGAATCAAGATCATCAATGCATAATTCAAGATTTCATTTTTAAGCACATGAGGGAATCCATCATCCAAAATTCAAGATTCATGAATGGAGATAAAAATAATACTAAGAGGAATTTTGTGACATTACAATCATGTCATTTGTTACAAAAATTCCAACTCTAGATAATGTTTAGAAATTAATCTATTTCTAAATCTTCATTCAAGTCTTTAATCAAATCTATGATATGGTACTCTTCATACTACACCATTTTTTTCATGTGCTACATTATGCTCACAAACATCCAAGAAATATGCAAGAATTAAATCAATATTGGAATGTTTATGGGCCAAGATTATGCATGTTCAATCATAGGCAAAACAGCCCCATGCAAGAGTTGAAGAATTACTACATGTCACAAAATCAAGAGGACAACATGTACTATGTTACAAGATCATTTTTTATGTCACAAAGTCAAGGAAATAGTATGCAAATGATATATTTACTTGCTAAATATCAGTTTGCAAATGCTGTCAAAGAGTGGTAACAATTGGCTACATGGCAAGATACAAAGCAATACCATCCAAGAGACTAATGGGCAAAAAGAGGGATAGTAGTATAGTATGCTACAGCAGAAAAATGCAGCAAGTCATACTAGAAATAGAAGGGAAAAGTGGGGCTGCACAAAAGGAAGAAAAAGGCATTTCCAAGAATGGAAAGTTGGTGATGAAAAGGTGTGCAAAGTGTGTGGCTTTAGGACAGCAGAAAAAGTTGACAGAAAAGATGGAAAATGGGCTGCAAGCAAGCATAGAAAAGATAGTATTCCTTACTATCAAAACATAACACAACACAAGAAGCAAGTAGAGTAGAGACTACAGATAGACAGCAAAGAGTAAGAGCAAAAAACCAGAAAATAGTTAGCAAGAAACCCTCAAAAAAACAGAAAAAAAGAGAGTGAGATAGAGACACAAGAGGATCATTGAGAAACGAAACCTTCACAACATAGAGTGAAGAGGGGAGAGCACATCCAACAAAGGTCATTGGAGTACTTGCAAGAAGGATAGCAAGCTCTTGGTATCCATTTCTTCAAATCTTTCTCCTTTTATTCTTTGCTTTTATATTAATTTCATTCACTCTTTTATGTGTTGTTGAACTGTATATCATGTAAGATCCCCTAAGGGACTAAGGAACCATCCTCAAGGAACCACAAAAACGAAACGAAAACATAAAAAAAATGTGAGATTTCGACCTGGACCAGCCACACGGGCCGTGTCACGCTACTGTATAAAGTTTTTTCCCCAGGCCTTGCAACACGGGCTGTATCACACAACACGGCCGGCCGTGTTGAATCACTGTTTCAACTTTTTTTCACCCGTGTCACACCACTGTTTCCTCCATATTTTTTTTTACCGTTTTTACCTTAAAAAAACGTTTCCACCAGGAACAACCCCTTGTCATTCTACCCCGGTGATTACTACACTAGGAACGACACATTGTCATTCTACCCCAGTGAGTAAGAATCTCGCACGTTTACATATACACAACATCATTATCACATAAAATCAATATGCACACACAAGTTCGTGCCAACTGCAACGAACTCAATCACATTCATCATGTATTCATGTTTAATTCAAACAATGCATATAATTGCCAAAAGGCCATACTTCACAATCTAGGATTCACGCCATAAGGCTACACACAGCACGTCTCATCTCAATAATACACAAACTATTCACGTTATATAAGGATTAACATCATTGAACCAAACAATTAACCATTGGATGGAAAACACAAGAAAACAACATTCTGACACGCTCGCTACCTTGCTCGCCTAGCGAGTGCTCGCTACTTGTTCGCCTAGCGAACAAGCTCGCGAAGGCGAATAGAAGCCACTGACCTGATTCGCTACCACACTCGCTCAGCGAAGGCCTAGCGAATTCTCGCCACCCCCTTCGCTACCAGCGAAGAACACCAAAATCATTTTGTCCAAGTCTGGGACCATTCGCTACTGGCTCGCCACAGCGAATGCCCAGCGAATGCTCGCAACCTGCTCGCCTAGCGAACTAGCTAGCGAGGGTCTGCGAACTCAGAAATTCCCACTGTCCAAAACTCCGAAACTCATCAAAACCAACCGATTCAATCCCAACTCATTCTAGTAGCCTTAGCCCAACATTCCTCGACTAAACTCTACCACTTATCCTCATTTTTAACAGTTAAAACTCAGTTTCTACCGATTCAACTCATTTATGCCCTAGAATGGAAGATGAGGGAAAACAACCAAACAATCCATACATAATCACATACATAGGTAAGATAACAATATTTCACACCCTTACCTCGATTAATCGGAAGCTAGAAGTCGTTCTTGATGATTTCCAAGGTTTCCCTTCTTTTTTCTTCCACTTTCTCTTCTTCCTCTTTCTTTCTCTTATGTTTTCTATTTTTCCTTTTCCTTCCACTTTCCCTTATATATCTTTCCCTTCTATTTCTCTCCAATATATTTCTTCTCTCAAAATATTTACCAATTCATTTCTCATAAAACATCCCATCTCATCCTTAATTAGAGAATATCTAGTAAGTCCACATTATTCTACCAAATAGAATAAATCAGTTAAATCCAATAATTCACTTAAATCATACAAACCAATTAACTAGTACCATTAATCAGTGATTGAAAATTGGGCTGTTACATAAACAGCGTTTGTTACTTTGGTGGGACCGTTGATAGATTTTCCATCAACTCGTAGACCAAGTAACATATACGCATCTTCAAGCGTTATTGTGCATTCACCTGTTGGGAAGTGAAAAGTGTGTGTTTCGGGTCTCCATTTCTCCAACAGAGCCACAACTAAACTTGAGTCGACTTTTAAACTATTTATTTTTTATATATGTGCAAAACCTGCTATTTCAAGATAAGCCATTATTCTCTGACTCGCTTGAATAGGAGCATGTGAATGCACTCTAAACCACGGGGCATCAGTCTGCAACAATATTAAACCAACAAAATGTAATCACGATTTTTGCTACGAAATAATATTTAACCAAACAACTATAGACATTATTTTTGCTACGAAATAATAGAGGAAAAACTTACACTAGCTTGGATATTTTCTTGTGTTCCACGGTGTTCATCGCTCATCCACAACAATGCCATGTTAATTGAGTTTTACGATTGCGAGAGAGTAGAGGAAGTAAGTAATGTGTGTAGAAATGCGAGAGTTGAGGAAGTAAAAAATGTGTGTAAAAATTTTGATGTATAAATCTAAATTTATAGTAGGGTGAATGCAATTCAAATTTAGATGTAATAAATTTTAATTTAAATGTGTGAAAAGACCCTTGCATGGCAACACATTTGCTTGCATGCATGCAAACTAGCTTGATTATAGCTTGATTAGGCTTCTTACAGCATGTTGTGTGCATGCAAAACCAATTCTGTAACCACCTCACAAGCTCGTCCTTGGAATGGACGAGCTCATAAACCACCTCATAAGCTCGCCCTTGGAATGGACGACCACACACCCTAGTCGTGCACAAGCTCGCCCTTTGAGTGGGCGAGCTTCAAGTCCCAATATTCCACAATTCTTCTCATATTTGTCTTATATAATTGTTGGATAATCATATTATTTCTACACATCAATATTCACTACCAAAAAATTCTATTTTACACATCAATATTCACTACCAAGAAATTCTATTTTACACTCCAAAATGTCCCAGAGAAACATAATTCTCACATGCCACTTTAACGGTGTTGTTTCAACAAATAGCCCTGTTGGATTCTCGTTCAGCAACACAGATACATACGCCTTCAAAATTCATGTCAGTTCTGATTTTTTCCATTTTAAAGATAGAATGGAAAAAAATTGGCATGAAGCGTTGACGAAATAATTTATCGCCATCCAACACTTAATGAAAACGACTGTATAATTTTTTACATAATGACGCCGATCAGGAACGACGAAGATGTGAAGGCAATGTTTCGGTGCCATATGATGTTTGGTCAGTTACCAACAATTGAGTTGTATGTCCGACTACTAGACAATCCTGAAACATTTCTGACGCAAGAGACACAGTCACACTGGTACGGGATGAGCCAAACATCCGACGACGAACCAACACAAAACAATTTACCTTTCATACCAAATGAGGAGGTTGGAGAAGCAAGCGATGACGATATTCAGGAGGTCAGGATGCAAGATATTTTTGGTGACAGTGATGACGAAGACAACAAAGATATAATTTTCGCGTCTATGCAGTCGATCCATGCACAACCCATAAGTTTGTACAACCCGCATGTGCACATGCAAAATATATGTTTCGAAAACGACGATACAACCTCCGTGTTTGGAAGTGCTACTCAAAACCATATAGGTGACGAAATAGAGATTGGGATGGAGTTCGAAAACAAGGAAGCTTGCGTCCTCGCTCTGCAACATTGGCACATAACACACAGTTTGGACTATTGGGTGTATCAGTCTGACAATGAACGATATGTCATTAAGTGTAAGAAACAAGACTGCAGTTTCAAGTGCAGAGCTTCCTTGAGAAAAACGAACTCGAAATGGGTGATTGGTAAGTTGTCTGGGTCTCACACATGCACTATGACGTCTATGGCACAAGACCATAGGAAGCTCAGTTCAGAAATGGTTAGCCATAGCATCAGAGAACTTGTCAACAGCGACGCCTCGCTTAAGGTAAAGGTGATCATTGCCCATATTCTTGAAAAATACGGGTACATTATATCTTACAAGAAAGCATGGATCGCTAAGTGCAAGGCGGTAGAGTCGCTTTATGTCAATTGGGAAACATCTTACAACGACCTACCGCAGTGGATACTGGTAATGAAAACCTTCCTTCTAGGAACCATTATAGATTTGCAAACCCTACCTGCGATATCAAGTGATGGTTTCCAAATCTCTCGAAAACGAATATTCCATCGTCTGTTTTGGGCATTTCGTCCGTGTATACGTGGCTTCGCCTACTGTAAACCCATTGTGCAAGTAGACGGAACTTGGTTGTATGTCAAGTACAGAGGAACTCTATTGACGGCGGTGGCACAGGATGGCAACGCAAATATTTTCCCAATAGCATTCGCATTGGTTGAAGGTGAAACAAAGGAAGCTTGGAGCTTTTTTCTGAGGAACCTGAGATTACATGTGACACCACAGCCTAATTTGTGTCTAATATCTGATAGACATGAATCGATAAAGAGTGCATACAACAATCCCGAAAACGGATGGCAACATCCACCATCTTCACATGTCTACTGCATAAGACACATTGCTCAGAACTTCATGCGCGAGATTAAGGAAAAGGATCTACGCAAAAAACTTGTTAAGATGGGTAACAAAATAAATTTCACTTATCTCAAGTTTTGTAGCACACTTTTATCATTTTTTTTCACACAATTTCTATTACAGGTTACGCATTGACGAAGGCTACATTTAATTACTATCGTGGAGAAATCAGAAGAACAAACATTGAGGCTTCAAATTGGATAGACAACATTCCTAGGGAGAAGTGGGCTAGAGCATTTGACAGAGGGCAACGTTGGGGACATATGACATCTAACTTGGCAGAGGCAATAAACTTTGTTCTAAAGGCAACAAGAAACCTTCCAATCACTGCATTGGTCCAGTCTGCATACTATTGAATGGGTTCACTCTTTGGTAAACGAGGACACAAATGGACCAAAATGCTATCTTCAGGAAAAGTTTTCACAGATAGTTGTAACAAGGGAATGGCTGATGAGGTAGCCAAGGCTAACACACACAACGTCATGCAACTTGATCGCGAAAGATTCTGTTTCATGGTGCAGGAAAAGATTAATTACAACGATGGTCGTCCAACGAGTACTTTCAGCGTTGATTTGAGGAATCGTTTGTGTGACTATGGAAAATTTCAAGCATTTCACTTGCCTTGCTCCCACGTGATAGCGGCATGTTCTAGCATACGACAGGACTACACAATTCACATTCCAGAGGTCTTCACAGTTCTTAACATATTCAAGGTCTACAAGGAAAGCTTCCTGGGACTACCGCACGAGGAGAACTTGCCAAAATATGAAGGTTTTACTCTGTGCCACGACGATTCCATGAGAAGAAATAAAAAGGGACGTCCAACCAGTAGTAGAATTAGAACTGAGATGGACGACGCTGAAAAAGAGAAGAGAAGGTGTGGGATTTGCAGAGAAATAGGTCATATGCATAGAAAATGTCCCAATGTTGCCGGTCCGTCAAACCGACCGAAAAGATAATTTTATTGTACTAGTTTTGTATGTGATCCAACAATTATTTTTAATTCAAAACAACTTTCAAATTACAACAATACCAGCGAATTACAAAAACAAATTTAGAAATAAAACTCAGGAAGCTAACATAAACTCTAACAAACAACAGCAACCAACACAAGTGGATCCGTGACTCCTCTGTTGACTTCGCCACTATTTGCTGAAAACATGCAATGGACATCTTCATCATTTTCTATACAATCTAAGTAATACATGTACGTACCCTCTGGGTTAGCATCAGTCAGCGTTATATACGGACAACGATACTCCATTTTTCTCACCGTCATGCGATGACCGTCCAACTGCCGAAACCCCGTGTTAATTGTTGCAACCACGGTTCTGAAATTCCACAGTGGATCTAGGTAAACACTGATTTTTTTTCCTGATCCATAAAAAACAACAACTTGCACAAACATTTTTATAAAACGGATCACTGGACACGAATGATATTTGCTTATTTGCAATACGTATATTTATAAAAAAAAAAATTACGTTTGAGCTCAGTCATTCAATGACCGAGTCTGTAAAAAATTCAAACCTCCATGTGCGAACATCAATCATTATTTTTTTATTTCATATAAAATAAAATATAATTAAATTAATTTAATATATAATTTTTTAGTTTAATGAAAAATATTTTAATTAGTTAATATTTTTAATATTCTTAAAATATTTTTAATTTTTAAAACTTATTATTAATATAGTATAATATTTTTAGTTTTTAAAATTTCTTATTAATTATTAAAAATATAGTAATTATTTAAAATATATTTACTAAATTATTAAAATATATTATTATAATATTAATTATTAATTGTATTAATTATTAATTATAGTATTTAAAATATATTTTATAAATCATTAAATAAATAAAACAGAAAAAAAAATTATAAAAAAAAGGCTCCTTCAGACGCTCGTCCACTGTGTGGACGAGCTTCCACAGGCCCAGCTTTGCAAAGCACTAGCTCACCTAATAAGTGGACGAACTCATATACAATGGATGAGCTTCCATAGGCCCAGCTTTGCAAAGCACTAGCTCACCTAATAAGTGGACGAACTCATATAGGCTCATTTCTCGCTGCACATCCTCGCCCATTCAGTGGATGAGCTTCTACTAAAGTGGGATAGTTCCGTAAATAAATTTCAAACGGAAGTATTATAGGATTTTTTTATTTCAGAACAGGGTAGAACAGTTAAAAAAATCACAAATTGTATCATCAACTTGTCCCAAACCTGCAATGTGAAAGAAACCATACCATAGCAGAAGAGAAATTTGACAGACCATCATCCTTAAAACATAAATACCATCAACATCAACCTGCACTTCACAAAAAAGCTGCCAAAAGTATTCTGCCCACTCTGTTGCCAATACACAGAACCAAACCTGCAAATCTGTAACAATAGGGCGAATGGTACTGTAAAGAAAATTAATTGATAAGTTTTATTGAACAAACAAAATAAGGGAGAAACAAAATAAGGGAGAGTGAGAAGAACAGGGAGCCATAAAAGCTGGCCTTCACAACAACTTTTGAAAAACGAAAAAAAAAAAACTCCTCTCCAAATGACAACTTTTTCACTTTCACCTCCTCCATATTACTCCCTCAACACAAACAATCGTAAAAAAAATCCACTCTCCACCAAACAACACTAACAGTTTTTAGTCCTCTCCAACCTTCTCTTCAACCTCATTTCAAACCCACCACCATTTTGCAATACCCTCCAATCCTTCCCCACTCACGACCAAAGCTACGAATTTCTCTCAAACTCACTGCCACCCTTTTCGCGCCGCCGCAAGCAGATATGAGAAGATAGATGAAGTAGGGAACACGAACAACGAGATCAAGAGATAAGACAAGGGATGCACGTTTCTTTTCGACTGTTTTGCTGATTGAGGATCATGCCTTCAATTTATGTTTTTTTTTCTTTTCAATATCCAACACGGCCGCAAGACCCGATTCACACTCCACGTGGGCTTTCAAATCTTCCAGCCCATTCTCCTTTTCTTGTTTACACTTTTTGTTATTTTGGTTATTTCACCATTAATCATGCTTAAAAATCTTGCTTAGTTATTTTAAATTTTTGTTAAATATTTTGAAAAAATGTTTTATAAATAACGTTTTTTTCGTTAATCAACTTTGCTGTTTATTTTGTAAAATAATATTATTAAGCTTTTGTTAATTTATTAATTACTATGTTAAATTATATTATTATATTTAGTTTTAATTAATATGTTTGCTTTAGGAAATTTTTTTATTATTTTGGAAGTTCAAAAATATTTCTTCAATTAGTCTTTTTTAACTAATCTTTTGATTTATAGTTTAAACATTTAGGTTTTATTTAGTTAGTTTTATTATTGATTTAACCACTAATTATGTGAGTATATGGTTGAGGTTCTTTCTTTTGAGCTTGATTTCGACTCTTGTCATTTTGATCATCCATGTGGCTCGTTATCATTGTTCATACCATCCCGTCATTTCATTCTTGTTTTTTTTTCTTCTCATTTTTGCAAAAAAACACAAAAAAACATTTCAAATTTATTGAGGCCCCGGTCATTTTGATACCTATGACCTCACTAGCAACTAACTTTCTGTTAACATTTGCAACATAGGATTGGAGTCGCCGTGCTCTATTTAGTTGTTCTGCCGTGGACATTTTTCTTATTTACTTTTTGTCATATGACTTGGAGTCGCCGTGCTCTATTTAGCTGTCCTGCCGTGGAAATTCCTTTCCTTGCTAACTTAACCTTAGTTTAGAGTCGCCGCACTCTATGTAGGTGTCTCACCGCAGACATTTACTTTCTCTTTGGAACCTTGACCACAGTCAAGAGTTCCTCACCCCTATTATTGGAAACTACGGTTGCTCTGATTCCATTCCCGTCAGGATACATAGGCACAAGATGTGATGTCTTGGCGAGCATACGTTGTACATACTTTGTATTTACTTTAGGTCTTTACCTTAGCACAATTCCTTTAGCAATCACACTTTAGCATAACACAAATACTAACAAGAGGTTCATGTAGAGTACTATAGATACTTAGGATGCTAACACCTTCTCTAGGTATAACCAACCCCCCGAACTTTAGATCTCTTATATGTGTTGTTACATAGCGCACTTAGGGTTTTCTTCGATCTTTACCCTTTCCTTTGGATAAATCAAAACTCGGTGGTGAACTTCATGATTTGCGATTCAAGTGAATTCAATAGCTTGATATTTGATTCTCACCGCAACAGATACTATAGATACTTAGGGTGCTAATACCTTCTTTTAGTATAACCAACTCCTGAACGTTTAGATCTCTTCGCATTGTTATTACATTGCACAATTAGGGTTTTATTCGATTTTTTCCCTTTCCTTTAGATAAATTAAAGTTCGGTGTAAACATTCAATATTTTGTGATTCAAGTTAATGCAATAGTTTGATATCTTATTCACACCGTAACAAGAAGCATCTTCAAGATTCATTCAAGAGATTCAAAATCATGTTGAAGATTCAAGATCTTGGAGGGAAATTCTTTTCACCTTAAGAATCAAACCAACATATCTTCAACATCCAAAACATTAAATTCCACCGCATTCAAAACATATCTTCATTTACATAACTCATCCATGGCATGTCGCTCACTTCCAACAAATTAAAGTGCTGCTCTTAATCCAATCCCAAATAGGCATGGCATGATTGCATCACGATGCAAAACTGACCATCACATTTTGATAAGTTTTGTTTCTGTGCATCCTTCCATTTAAGGCATCTATTATTTCATGTGTTCGCTTGATGCATAAAAGAGTTTGTTCAAACTCAATTTCATATACTTTATGAAGTCTTCCCTTTTAAAAGAAGACTTCCCTTTTGAATCTAATGGTGGCCTAAGTTCTTTTTATGTGCAAGACTAAACACATTTTGCTACAATATAAATCTCATTGTATAAATTAAGAGCATTCTTGTAACTTGTACATCATGTTTACAAGTAATGAAAGACTTTTACTACATGGGATACATAGTCTTTTGCATCATACATCTTAAGATAAAATACAAAAAATACAAAAGAGGTTTATTACAATAGTTTGATAAGGTACACAAGGTTTGTTTTACACTTTAAGTCATTATAAAAAATACAAAAAAAGAGGCTCCCATCTCCACTTCCAATCATCCAGGGTCTGGAGAATGTGCAGCAACATTGATAGACTAGCTCTCTTCTTGCCAGCAGCAGCAGCAGGCCCTGCTTCATTGTGTGGTGCAAGTTTAGTGTTGTACCATCCAAGCGTGAAACTTCGACATTCATATGAGCCCTGAAAGATACCACATCAGCAATCATACAAAGGGAACCACATCAATTCAACACACTCTAGCATTTTAACTAACAAAC